ATCATCCGGAAGCAACTAAGGTTTTTGAATATATCGTTCTGGCCGATCCTGCAATCGTCGAGGATGATATGATCGTATCAATCATCCTTAACTACTTCTTTGATTGTCTGATCAATTAAGGCATATTTTATGAATATCGTCCAGGCCGATCCTAGATCGTCCTGTCCGATTACCCAAAATACATAATACCTTAATTATTTATGGTGGCAATTTCTATCTGTTTTGAGCTTATTGTCCTGTCCGATACAAGTATCATCCAGGACATTCTGTTAATGATGATTGTCTTAATTAAGAATCCTGAAAAGAATATCTATTTTAAACTCGATCGTCCAGGCCGATACAAATATCGTCCTGGCCGATGTGAGTAAAAATAGAAATTCTAAGTCCCTCAAGTGTGTGTGTGTAGGGTTACTTAGTATCAGTCTCTTTGAACATTATAAATAGATTCAAGAAGAGAAAAAGCAAAGTACAGACTAACTCAACCCTAACCTACGTAATCTTAAACTAGCTTCGTTTGTTCGTCCGATCTTCGATTCCTGAAAAGTTAGAAGTAATAGACAGTCCAAGAGAATCAATGGTGTTTGTCAATCATCAAAACAAAAGTCATGAAAAAAGATTTGCAACACTATCAATTTAGGAATGATCTTTTAATAGGATTTCATGCTCTTTTTGCAAATTAAAAAATTCCAATTTTAAACTAAAATGTAATTTTTTGAGTTTCCTATATAATGCATGAATGTTCTCACAAATTTTAAGTAATTGATCATAAGTTGGTTCACATACCTCTTCTTGGTTACTTTGACCATGATGATCATCTGTCATTAAGCACAAGTTCATTATCTCCTCTTCAGCTTCAGTCTCAGAGGAGTCTGATGCAGAATCCACCCAGAACGTCTTTTGGAACCTCTTCTTATTCTTTTTGAACTTGGGTTTCTCCTCTCCCTTCTCCTTGCTTGGATGAGTTTTAAGTGTAGGATAATCAGCTTTAACATATCCTGGCTTCCTGCATCCAAAACAAATTTTATCATTTGAACTCTTAAAATTTTTGTTTCCCTTACCTTTATTCCACTTTTGATGGTTTTTTTGCTTCTTCCTTAGAAAGATTTTGAATTACCTTGAGATTAAGGCAACATCATGCTTTTAGACCCGAAAGATTCATTTTCCATGTTGTTGGCCTTCAGTGCCATAGTTTTTTCCTTCTTTTTCTCATATGCATCAAGATTTCTTTGATTCACTCCTTGCTTGTAAGCAAAGAATGATCCAAGTAAGTTATCAATCGAATAAATGTTTAAATATTTAGATTCAATAATTACAGTGATCTTAGCATTAAAAGAAGAAGAAAAATATCTTAAAATTTTATTTACTTTTTCATAGTTAGTGAGTTCTCTTCCAAAAGCATGCAATGAGGTGACAATTTGAGTAAACCTTGTATACATTTTAGAAATTGATTTAGAAGGTTTCATATGAAAAAGTTTGTAGTCATGGAAATGAATATCCAATCAAGATTGTTTAACTTCATTGGTTCCTTTATAAGTAATACATAATTTATCCCAAATCTCTTTACCAGTTGCACAAGTTGAAACACGCATATAATCTTTAGATTTTAATGCACAGAAAAAATAGTTTAAGAATTTTTCATTAAGTTATGCTAAATATCTTTAATCAAAAGTCCATTCAATAAAAGGAATTTTAGTTTTAATGCCATTAAGTTAACGAGAAGGTGGTGTATAACATTCTTTAACAAGCATCCACATACGATAGTCAATCGATTGAAAAATGGTAGACATGTGAGTATTCCAAAAATCAAAAGGAATATTATCAAATAAAGGTGGATGTGTAATAGAATATCCTTCCATTGTGTTATGATTATTGGAGTTAGACATGGATCAAAATTTAAAAAGTTTTCAAACTTATTTTTATGAAT